GACATAAGTTTGCGGATAATTAAAACTAATTTTTGTTCACTGCAGAGACTTAAATGATAAAACATCATTTCATTTTCTTTCAACTTATTTTTCCATTTAGAATCACCATCTGGCCGAATCTAACACGATTACTGAAACAAATATAAAATAAAATAATGCACTCACGAGTTCCAATTTGTTTCTTGCACGAACCTTTTCATAATCTTGTCCAGTTAAAAAAAACTGTAAATGTAAATGAGGCAAACGACATGCTCGGAAGGAACTAACTGTACGCCTAATTCTTACCTGCTAATCGAGGCGGGTAAAGATCTCGGATCTCGCTCTTACGATTAGAGGGATAATAATACAACATCAGAAGTTCATTTCACGAAGCCTAATTCCGAGCAACTATACGTATGGGAAACCCGCGGTAGCGTTGATCGCCGGTGGAAGGACAGGATCGTACTCTCGTCTCGTTTCTCGAAAGAAGTATTTACTCAACCATGTAACTCCTGTGTAACTCCTCATTGGCCTCTCGCAGTCTTTATTTCGACGAGCGAAGGACAGAGACAGACGACAACTTTCTTGCGTCACTCGCTTATTAGGACGATAATCGCGTACCGGTCATTATATACTCTCCGTTACATTATCATGCTGCGTACTGGCACACGGATTGCCGTCTCTCTTGTAATTCATTCGTAATTACTTTCGTAGAACAGCCGGACTCACGCACGCCATCGTCGCTTTCTCTCTCCCTCTGTCTTCTACTAAATCTATCTTGCTTTCTCTTTCGCGTTCTGGCCACGATACGGGAACTCGTCGAATTTACGAATTGGAAACCCAGATCGAGAGAGAACAACTTGTTACGATAAATCCGGGAACCTAATGAGACGCTGGAAATTATCGGGGTCGAGGGAAACATTTTTGTTGCTCGATTAATAAAACGGCTCTGAGAATGCTTTTTCGGTGAGAAACGACTTGTTCGCTCGTCTCCTGTAAATAACGATCTTTTTGTACGTACAGGGTGTCTCAATATGCACGACTCTTTCGTCTGAGGGTGCGAAAGAATATGAAATTCTGAGTAAGAAAGTTCTTTTTCCACTATTTATTCTCCAGTCGCTGTTAACAAAATTATCAATGAAAAACATGGACCAATGACAGGTCCAAGTACAACTGACACAAGGTGGAGAACCTGAGGAGCACTGAGTGACCATTCTGCGCTTAATAGACGGAGGAAAAGTAAAAAAGGAACTTTTGATTCAGAATTTCACCCATTTTCGCATTCTCAAAGGATACCCTGTGTGTACATGTAACGCGCAAGTGTTACCGGTACATTGTACTGCATGGTTGGTGATTTTTTATCATTTAAATTTCTCATAGGAAGGCCGACTTGGTACGAATTATTGCAAGTTTGTCAAAAAGGCAAAATAGATGTACAATATTCTTGAATTTGTAATTATAATCGAGAGGTAGTTTCAGACGTTGTCATGAGTCAAATCTTCAACGCGGAATCGGTCGCACGTCCATCGGGAAAGAAACAAACGAGAGAGAAAAGAAAAACGTGAAACGTAAAACGAGGTAAGAAGAGCCAGGAAGGGGGAGAAGGATTGTTCGTGCGTACCGGCGATATCCGCTCAGCGTTCTTTTCGCGGTACACTCGGAATATCACGTCCCGTCCGTCCACCGAGTACCGTCGTCGTTAGCGTGTCTAACGACAGTCTGCCCGCTAAAACTTGTCCAATAGCCGTAGCTGAGCTCGCCTTGGGAACCTGTTACCGCGTAATTTTGGTTAAAATACCACGGCGACGAGTCTTTTGCGGTCGAAGTATTTACCCTGACGACGTAACCTTATGACAACCTTCGAAGTCCCTAAACCCGGGGTCCCATTCGACAGATCATTGTCTGCAACTCATCGCTTCAAAAACGATTTTTCAATTTCAAATTGTTCTTTTTCCATTTAAGTAACTAATAAAGATATTCTACATTTTATTCGTAGAATGAGGCTTTACTTTAATATT